GTGTTATAAAATGTTTCAAAACTTATAATGTACACTTCTTTGAATAAATGAAAAAGAAATGGGTGATATGGTGCAAAAACGCATAATATTGTGAATCAAAGGAAAACAGATGTCTGGGACGGAAATTAGAAAAAAGATACTTTTGTTGAAACATATTTAAATTAGATAGTCCGGATGGCTGATTTCTCATTGTTGACTTGGTAAAGGAAGCAAGTATTTTTTTTTGATGATATTTAGCTGATGGTTCAATAGCGTTTTGGTTTTCGATTGACTTGTAAGGGAAAAAAGCAATTATTTTTTCACCCAGCAGAATGAAATAAACGCAGCAAAAGAATAAAAGAAAGACGACTTCCTGTGTCTTCTCCCAGAAGTTCCAATTATTCTACAAAAAGTTGTTTTTTAGCAGGATAAATTACTGTTTTCTAAATAAAAGTAAAGTAGCCTAGTTTAATAAGTAATCGGGAAATTATTTGTTTAACTTACTAAATTAAGCGAATTATATAGTCTTTCTTATTTATTTGTAACAAGAGCTCGCATTTTCTCTATCGTAGAAACTTTCAATCATTTTTCTCCATAGAAAACACTCACTACATTATTCAAAAAAAAATCTAAATGGGATAAATTTTTACTACAACTACATCAAAGGAAATATTTATAAGCAAATTCATGAGCTTATATTTTTCGGCTGTTAAAAAAGGGAAAATTTTATTTCAACCCGGCCGACCAAATTAAAGTTTTGATGAAAGCAAACTAATAACATCAAGTCTTCTTTCTCTTTTGTTTCCTTATATAATCAAAGAATTATGAAGCAAAAATTCGCATTTTGAATGCAAAATCTCAAATTATTTTCCTACACATTTTATTGTCTAGTTAAAAATCTATTACCAGTAAACATTTCATTGATAGTTAGATTCTGGTATGCTATCGCAGTCGACTTTTTTCACATTTGTCTCTATTTTAATGTGTTTTATAAGCATTTCTTTTAAAACAACTATACAAAATTGTATACATTTTAACACACATTACTATCTTAAAAAACTCTTTTAAAAGTTCAAGGAATCGAAAAGTTTGTAAGATTTTAAAATGAAAATTCAGGATTAGTTCTCACTACTTTAAAGCCCATTAATAAGCACTTTAAAGTCGAAGAACTGGTTTTAAAGTAGGTTTAAAAGAAACTCATGAAATAAAGACGGGGAAAATGCATTTGCTCTTTCCCATCTCACTCACGAATTTTTTTGTTTAGCTTCTTTTTCGCGGTGCGTGTGAAACGAATTTTCTCCTCCCATTGCCTGTGGTTGAGAAGAAGCGAAACGCGCGCAGAAGAGCCGCTTCCACAACATTGGCGACCGCCTAGCGGGAATTCTGGGAGCACCAGCGAATCGCTTGTCGTGAGATCGCGCACCATTCCGAAAAAGAGTTCCAACTTCTCGCGTGAAACGGAACAGGCAGGAACACTTTCAGCGCAGTTCCACTTGCCGGGCGCTCTTATATTACCAGCGGCTACTCAAGCGGACGGTTCAGAAGGAGTACGCTCCTATCAACTTGTTCTTTCCCTTAACTCTTTTCCAGACTCAAACTGAATCAAGGTAAACATTTAATCATTACATAAAAATAAGTTATGGTCTTTTTCGGTCTTTGTTTATTTTTAAAAACGTGTTTTTGTGAAACTCCGAATTTTTAAAATTTCAATTATTTTAAATAAGTTTCCAAACACTTGAAGTGAACTTATTTGAATGTTCTGTTATATTTTAAGAGTTCTTCAACAGTTTGAAACTGTATATTTAAATTGAGGATTTTATATTAGTAACAATTAAGGTGTTTTCTTAAAATTCTACTCAAGATTTTACTAAAACTATAAATAAAATTTACTTTAAAAATATTAGTTTGTTATAAAATCACAAGTTAAGTACATGGTGTTATAATATTCCTTTAAGGACTTTTTCATTTTTGTAAAAGTATGCAAAACGTCAGTTAACACAATTTAAAAAAAATTCTTAAGATATGTATTTTCAAATTGAAATTTTATCTACATTATGAAATATTTAAGTAAGCATTATTTGAAAAATTACAGATAAATAACTCTTTTAAATAATTTTTTGGAGGAAGTGAAATTATAAGGTACTTTAAAACCATTTGTCACTATACATTCAAGGAAATATTAGCTTAGAATTTCTTAGAAAAACAGTTAGAAAATATTTATTTGTAAAAAAAATGTTTGTTATTTGTATCAAAATATTTTTAAAAAAATAAGTTTATAAACTTTATAATATTTGTATGAAGTGTTTCAAAAGATGAGAATTGATTTTCTCAAAATGGTCGTATGTATTGTTTTATATAAAATACTTTTTTGAAATCACTTTCGCAATTATTTATTAGCGTTTCATATTCTTTCTCTGATGTTTTATATGGGAAAATATATTAATCGAAATGTTTAAAAAAGTTTAATCATGGAAGTAAATATGTTTGAACCAATCCCACTATTTTAAGAAAATATCAAATGTATGCAATTTAGCACTACATCTAGCTTTAAAAATAATGAAGTAATTATTTATCGAAAGTTTCGTATTGAGTTATCATTATTTCTAGGAAAAAATAAATAAGTTACTGTTAAAGTTATCTGAATTAAAAAAAATGTATTTTAACTATAGCTAAATGATATTGTTGGCAAGAGCATAAAAATGTTATTATAGTACTATAACAAATTAAGATATGCAAGCTTATCAATAAACAAAGTGTTACTTTGGTATTTGATGCTGATATTGTTAAATAAATTTTTTGTGCGTCATAATTTATTGAACTTAAATTGGAAAAATTCTAAACGAAGAGGAAATTAAATCATTAGATTACGAATGAGTTTTCACTTCTTAAGCAACAATTATATTAAGGCTGTTTTCACTTAATGTTAATAAAGAATTGGACCCGAATTCGGAATATTTTTTCAGATATAAAAAAAACTGAAACATTAATATTACATTTTGGCTGTCTTCGCTATCCTTTCGAAAGCAGTCTATCTTATCATACTCCTCTTTTTTATCTCAGTTTTGGTTCATTTTTTCACTATAAAATATGTTTCGTATTTTTCTATTGTATCTTAATACTGAATGAGCCATTTCTTAATATTTTTAATTGAAAAAAAATATTTATAGATCATTTTGAAATTTATAAACGCTATATTATAAGCAAATGTATGAATGATAACGTTGAAAATTTTCATAAAAGTTGAGACATTTTTCTGCCGGAAAATGTGCTCCGCGTTTAGTTCAGGCTCACATGCATTTAGCGAAGACAGCCTTAAGCACAGAACTGAGTGAATAGATAAAAATATAATGATCTCAATTTTCGTTATATGATTTTCACCTATACCTATTCTTTTAAATTAGGTTTATTATATTCCAAGAGTATCGCGTTAATATTAACTGTAAACTTTGGCAAGTTATTCAAAAATTATATATTACAAAAGGAATATAATAATAATAATAACTAAGGTTTCATCCCATATTGTTTAATTTTTGCACTAACTAATGTTAGCCCGTTTTTTGCATACCACAAGTAATGTAGTTAAACAAAACTTTCATTAAAGATTTATTTCCGAAACATACAAATTTTTTAAAATAGTTTTACTTCTGTTGTTTTAAGGTGATTACACATTCATAAATTAAAGATATGTCTAAGAAATTTATTTATTCATATTGTGTATGTGTTACATTAATATGTGATTTATGGTAACTGAAAATTGCCTTCCTTATATAATTCGGTTCAAAATATTCTTAACTATATATTTTTTAGAAAAATAAATTTGTCATTATAACATTTTACAATCAACGTATTACAAATCTTTATGCTGTCATGATCCAATAATATGATTAATTAATGATATAATTAAAAGAGAATAAAATAGTGTGTTTTACAGTTAGTAGAGTAGAACACAAAAGTAATGATTTTTAACCATTTTAATAAAAGAACCTTATTTGCACGTTAAAATTTCTAAAGTACCATTGTACCAAGTACCAAAGTATTATTTGGAGCTTTTTTTCCTGTTAAATTCTATGCATAGAATCTATGAAATTTGGTGTGGTACCTTTCAATTGATTGGAAATAGTAATGCACTATTATAAAATTAATGATGTCTAATGAATACTCATTAAACAAAGCTTTTTTTCAAACGTTCTGCAAACTTCAATCATAAAATTAGAGATATTATCAGTGTTTTGCTGTCAACTGACATATCGAACTTTCTAAAAATTGTATCGACTTTTAAACATTTTTCTCATTATATATTGTTATTGCCTTTTTTATCAGGAGTTTTACATTATTTATCCTTATAAGTTATTTGAATATTACAACAAAATGATTTTATAATTATTTAGACTCTTCATTTTCCTGGGACACGAACAACGAAGAACACACGATATACTAAAATAACTTAGGAAAAAAATAAAGGATTATAGAAACAACCTAATGCTGACATATTAGCACAATGAATATGTTAACACATTCACATTTCATAAATGAGAATTCTCGTTTATTACAATTCCAATTTACAAATTTTAAAATTAAATTTATATGGAAGTTATTTTAGTGAAAAATAGCCTGATGCGAATGTGTTAATATTTTTCTTTTGTTATCTATGATCCAGAATCATTTTGCTTATAAAGTTTAATACGAATATTTTCCGTAAGTTTCTCCTCATGAAATATAAGACAAGTAATAAAAGAAAAAAATAAGTCAATTCCTACTTAGGTCAACAAATTTTTTATTTTATTTTAGTTACTTTTTATTAAACAATTACAATGAATATATAAATATGTATATACATATGACAGAATCACAATATTAAGTGACAAAATAGAAAGCGATTTTCCTTGCAATTTTCCATTTTCCTTTCTATATATGGTGTTGGACTAATTATTTTTTTTGTTACTGTCTATTTATTAATTAAACTTAGTTATTCTAATAAAACAGTATAGTAAAAAAAGAAATCACATTTTCAGAAATTAGGCCATCCCAGGTGGGATCCGAAACCACGCCCTTAGATTAGAAATCTAACGTGCTATCCATTGCGCTACTGGGACAGAACTAACGATTTTCCTTTCTATATATGCTGTTGGACTCTTATTTTTGTTTGTTACTATTTATTCATTTTTTAATTTTATTAATGAATTAACATTTGAAAAAACTATTGTAATATCAAGTGTCATCCACTACAAGTTTAAGAAATGTATTTAAGCTTGAATGGATGAATAGAAAATATTTTATTAAATTTGAACAAGTATATATATATAAATAAATAAATATTTATATATATAGGGAGAGAGCGAACTAATAGTAGGAATTAAATAATTTGATGTTTTAAAAAACTATGATGATTTTTAACAAAAAAATCGATAGATTGCTTAAGTTATAGTTATAAGAACAAAGAAAAATTAATAAAATTGCGTGATGTACAAAAACATAAAGAAGCAGATAAAGTTTACAGAAATAAGGACAACATATGAGACAAAATTCGCCTTGTCTGTTTATTTAGAACATTAATACTGCGAGAGAACGGAACCCGTGATTAGCTTCAGAGTATACCCGCAAGCCTCTCAGTTAAAACAAAAGCGCCTCTTATGTGGTTAAGAGTGGACAAATCAAAGCAGACACAGATTTTAAAGAATCCCATTTCTTTCTTTTCCTTTACCCAGTGGGTATAAGCTGCATCTTTATGAGAATAGAACTATATTATAAAAACTAAAATATCTGAAAAAGCACACACAGGAAGGGAGAAATTCACTCACAGACTGTATTGTTATATAGTAATTTAATTTATGTACAGTAATTATATAAGGGATGCTCTTGAAAAATGTGTGTGTAATCGATTATCGATACTCTAGCTCTGAGGAAAAGTAATATGTAAGGAAAGGAGAAATATCTCTCAATTTAGCAGCTGAATTTTGCTGTTCCAAGTTTACTTATTGAGCTGATATAAGGCACATACATGTGACTATGAGTTTTTACCAGATTTGTTAAAATTAAAAATAATATTTAAAGATTCATTTTTCATATTAAAGTAAATCCTGAATGAGGCTGGGCTTTGGTAATTACCAAAGCAGACCTGGTACATTCTCCGGGAGCTGGTATCCCTTTTTAACCCCTTAACTGCAGATGAAAAGTTAAGTGATTCACTCCCCATTACCACCGTTCACATAGGCTGTATATTGGGGGAGAGGAGAAAAGGCTCAAATCAGCAAATTTTGCTCTGAAATAAGCAGAGTAAATACTTTGCAAACACTGTACATGTCATTTTTTGCATTTTATAACCTTCGAAATGATTTTAATTATAGCACGCAAAGAAAGAATCGTTTTTCGGAAAGACGTATATATACGTCCAAGGTTCTTACAGCTGTGGTTCAGCAAGCCAAATATGTATACCGGTGGCAGTTACGGAGTTAATGTGGCACTATATAGAGGGATACCAATTACCACAATGTAATCTCGACACTCAGCTTCTTCCCCAGAGGAAGGCACTTGGGCTCAGACGATGCGAAATTGCACTAGGAATTTAATTTTATGGACAACATTCAAGCCAAATAAGTTCCCCGACTTGGGCTGAGGTCAAACCAACAAACTTGGTCGCACAAAGCCAGAGCCTAACCAACTACGCCACCCAGCCGTATCATTTCTAACTTTAATCTTAAGATATATATGAAGCTTGTTCTTCAAACCCAAATGTATACTTATCGTTATGTGTATCAGAATACGAAATATATTTACACGAGTTGAAATATCCGACAAATACTGTTTGTGAATATAATATCAATATGTAAAATTTAAACCAATTTATGAAGTTTGATTTGCTTTTATTAAAATTAATACTTTATGTAAAAACAGGATATTTTGATGCTATTCACACAAACGCACACATAGTTCTAAAGTAGAAATGATACGTTTGGTGAATATAGTCCAACACAATAAACATATTGTTCGGATATTTAGTCATAATCATACAAACAGAATAAGGCATTACTTAAGATATGAGAATTACTAATACTTTCTTCATCTGTAATATCATAGATCAATCGACATGGGCTATATTATGAAAGATTGATCTCTTAAGAGCAAATTACGTTGCGGGGCGACGAGCAATTTAATATTCTCCGCTGTGTACCACTTTGGTTGACTGAAACAAGATATTTCTTCTTACTTAATACACACAGACATAGATGAATAACTTCGTGAAGAAAGAGGTTGAAAGATCGGGTTATATAGCTGTATATTTTCCATCAAATTTAAGAAATTCAAAAATGGAAGTATACTTCTAAATTTAAATTAGCAGACCTTCGAATGTTTGGAATGAATACTTTGAAATTCGTATATTAGATATATCTCCTGAGTTTACGATGAAAAATACTTATCGCAAAAACCTGATCATCACTTAATTGTAAGTATAACAAAAAGATCCTTTTGCGTTATCAAACTACATATGCAACAATCATTTTACATGCTACATCCTTGATTCCAACTTAAAATAAACTTTGTCGAACTGACGAATGGGATGGAACAATGCTATTAAGGAAATTATGATTGGCGAGTGAGTGTGTGCTTATTAAAGTCGCACTATAAAGCTACACGACGGCTATTGGTAACGGATCTCGTAATTTTGAATCTCGGTCAAGTGGCAAGGACGAATCTGAGGTGGTACCCCCCTCTTCAAAGTACCACACCTCACCAAATGGAGAACGTTTGAGCCTCTACACGGTGAGTCTTTTGCCCTTTCATGGGTCTAGGACTGGAACAAATGACACTCCAGCTAGGCAACCGTGGTCTAGTATTTATCATGATGGGAAACTACTCTTATATTTGTTATAAGAAATAAACAATAAGTTGGGATGAATAAAAAAAACAGAATCTGAGGTAAGATTTAATCAGAAAGATTGTGACGGATCTAGACGCGTCTATTACTAACCCTTTGGGGACTCTTCTGGGGAAACATTTTTACCAACCAACTTTCACCGAAGGTAAGAAAACCTTGATTAGGCAAATTAAGTTTATTATATAAATTCTGTGTTCGCAAGTATTAAGAGTTAGTTGGTGAGTGGAGGACGAGAGTTTATTCAGTGCAAATCTAAGTTTATAAAAGTCTCAATTGAAGAATTCCAAGAGAGGATCACTCGGATGTGGTCGAATCCAGTTAAAGATTAACGTTCAAGGACTCAACAGTAGGACTTCGACTTCACAAGAGTACAGGTATCGTGAGCCTTATTTAATTAGAAGTTACAGAATAACTTATTATTTAACAAGTCCCGGTTGGCTACTGGCTGGTTAAATGAGCATTCCACTGACTTTTCTGTCATAAATTGGCCACCTAGAAGCCCAGACTTAAATCCTATTGAGCATCTTTGGGAAACAAAAAGATCCTTTTGCGTTATCAAACTACATATGCAATAATCATTTTACATGCTACATCCTTGATTCCAACTTAAAAATAAAACTTGTCGAACTGACGAATGGGATGGAACAATGCTATTAAGGAAATTATGATTGGCGAGTGAGTGGTGTGCTTATTAAAGTCGCACTATAAGCTACACGACGGCTATTGGTAACGGATCTCGTAATTTTTGAATCTCGGTCAAGTGGCAAGACGAATCTGAGGTGGTACCCCCTCTTCAAAGTACCACACCTCACCAAATGGAGAACGTTGAGCCTCTACACGGTGAGTCTTTTTGCCCTTTCATGGGTCTAGGACTGGAACAAATGACACTCAGCTAGGCAACCGTGGTCTAGTATTTATCATGATGGGAAACTACTCTTATATTGTTATAAGAAATAAACAATAAGTTGGATGAATAAAAAAAAACAGATCGAGGAAGATTTAATCAGAAAGATTGTGACGGATTAGACGCGTCTATTACTAACCCTTTGGGACTCTTCTGGGAACATTTTTACCAACCAACTTTCACCGAAGGTAAGAAAACCTGATTATGCAAATTAAGTTATATATAAATTCTGTGTTCGCGAGTATTAAGTTAGTTGGTGAGTGGAGGACGAGAGTTTATTCAGTGCAAATCTAAGTTTATAAAAGTCTCAATTGAAGAATTCCAAGAGAGGATCACTCGGATGTGGTCGAATCCAGTTAAGATTAACGTTCAAGACTCAACAGTAGGACTTCGACTCACAAGAGTACAGGTATCGTGAGCCTTATTTAATTAGAAGTTACAGAATAACTTATTATTTAACAAGTCCCGGTTGGCTACTGGCTGGTTAAATGAGCATTCCACTGACTTTTCTGTCATAAATTGGCCACCTAGAAGCCCAGACTTAAATCCTATTGAGCATCTTTGGGATGTTTTGGAAAAAGGCGGGAAAGGCCATCACACAGCACCAACGAACCTTACTGAATTATGGACAACTTTAGCCATTATTTGGCAAGTCATTCCCGTGGAACGTTTTAAGAAACTTGTTGAATCTATGCCTCTTCATATGGCAGCCGTTATGAAGGCCAGAAGAGGACCAACTCGTTACTAAGTACGTATCCCTAATTCAGTGGCACTTCATTGTATAGATATGACAGAATCACAATATTAAATGACAAAATTTAAAGTGATTTTCCATTTTCCATTCTGTATATGGTGTTGGACTATTTTTTTGTTTGTTATACTATTTATTCATTAATTAAATTTAATTATTCGAATAAAACAGTATAGTAAAAAAAGAAATCACATTCTCAGAAATTAGGCCAACCCAGGGGGATTCGAACCCACGTCCTTTGGCTTAGAAGTCCAACGCGATACCCATTGCGCTACAGGGGCACAATGAAAAAATTTTTCTTTTAAAATATGCTGCTGTTCTATTATATTTGTTTGTTACCATTTATTCATTTTTTCATTTAATTAATGAATTTATATTTGAAAATTAAAACTGTATCTACAACAAGTGTCATCCACTACAAGTTTAAAAAAATGTATTTGAACTTGAATGGATGAATAGAACGTATTTTATAAACGATTGAATATTTTAACAAGATATATAAATAAATATATATATATAGGAGGACTGTGAACAATAGCAGGAATTGAAAAAAATGTACGTTATA